GCGGGGGGAGGGGGGGCGGCGGGCGCCGGGGGGCACCGGCCGGGGAGGGTGCGCACGGCACGGCCCCGGGACGGGCCCCGACCGGTGGCCCCGGCCGGGCGGTGGCTCGAGAAGCGCGTTCCTGGGATGGGTCCACGCGCGTCTGCGGGCCCGGGATCGCGTGACTCCGAGGACGTTTCGGAGACTTTGTTCAGTATAACGCTCAGCTTTGTCTGCCCGGGACTCAGAAAGCGGAACCGAGAGCTGACTCCTGGGTGACCTCGGCGCATGGGGACCCGGGGGTCAGGACCCGGTTGAGCGTGTGGGGCTGGGGCGGGCTGTGCGGCTCCAGGGAGAAACTCGGGGAAAGGTCTGGAAGAACTTTCCTGACTTCTGTCCTCTCCCTCTCGGTGTTGAACGTTCTCGGTGAAATGTCCTTCTAGCTGACACGTGCTGGATTCATAGGTAACGACTCATCAGCCGCAAAGACCCCGAACCTAGGCGATTGGCCTTTGCATCTTGAGGGGCGATGCGGACGTGGGGAGCAGAATAAAAGGGCTAAAAACTTAACTCACCGAGTGCTCATCCATGATGTTTTAATAAGACTTTGACTTCTGAGCATAACTTTTTTGTGCTGCGTCCGTATAGTATGATAAAAAATTTTGCAGCTGCGGGGCGTTTTGTGGTTACTGAAGCAAAATTCAGTAACTATGTTGGGGGGGGAGGGGGCCTCATGAGCAAACGTTTCAGTATTTTGAAGTTAGTATATTTGTGGTGTACTGTCAAATGGCTCTTCCTGCAGGTACATTGGTATCCGCTTACTTTTTTAAGATCCCACGTAGTTGAGTTCTTAAACATGATTTTTTTCTGCAAGAGCTTTAGAGTGTGTGCAGATGCCAGAAAGCACACATCCCAATATGACCTATAAAGCGTTCTTACAGGTATTGCATCCTAATATAGAAGGTGAACACAGAAGGTGAACCGACTCTAAACCGGTTAGGATGTTGACATTATTTTTGAGATACTGTGTTGTGTGCAAACAGCTAATAGTGAAACCAAACATTGTGGAGGAACATATGTCCTCTGCACATTGTCTACTTATAAAATGGGAGCTATTTAAATGGGAAGGATAAAGAGACCCAAGACCATGGAAAACAAGGCAAAATAGATAGACGAGATTTTATACTCTTAACCAGTTGTATGGTATTGCAACCTAGGTGAATTACAGTAAGATGAAAATTGCCTTCTCATCTGAGGAAATTGCCTATTTTATTGTAAAGTATTATTTGGAAAAGTGTTGTTTTATAACTACAAGTGTAGGAATGCTACTGACTTTTTCAAAGAGATGGAGACTTGAATTGCAAGTTCCCCTTTTTTCTTGAATCTCACCGGCTGCTTTGCTATTTATTTTCCCTACCACTTAACATTTCAAAAATCACAAGTTTGCTTTCTTAGGAAATGCCGTATTTTAATTCACACATCAAGATAATCATTGCTTCGGAAACCTTTCTATTTCGGTTAGATTGGCAATGTGTTTATTTCTAAGGGCAAACAATGTGTTTGTGTGAAACCGTCTTTATCCATACATCCAGTTGAGAAAACTTGTAACTGGAAAAAAGGTAATCATGCAAACCAAAGATTTTTTTTTTTTTTTTTTGGTAGAGAGAGAAAAGAGGTCTGAGTGTTCCCCAAACCATACAATTAAGTAAAGAAAAGTCATGTTTTTCTGCTTGATCCATCTCAGTTGAACTGCTGCCAGGGCGAGGTCCTGGTGTCGTTCTCCTGGGCAACCCTCCCTTAATGTTAATGTGAGGTCCTGTATAATAAGCGTGGTCTCGACCATCGAAGTACACTCACTGCCTCTTGTCCTGTTTCCCTGACAATGGTCTTTTTCAGGTGGGATGAGCATGTGGCTCTAGGAAGTGTTTGTATTTTTAGCAAAATACTTGTTTTTTTAAAAAAATAAGAGGACTGGTAGGAAGATTTCAGAACCCGAGTTGTCCAGGAGGTGGAATGTACAAAACAGATACGCCCCGAAGAGAGAGGGTTTATAATGTTAGAAATTCAGGAAAAGAAAGCAAATTGCCCTGAATTAAAAAAATAAGAGGACTGGTAGGAAGATTTCAGAACCCGAGTTGTCCAGGAGGTGGAATGTACAAAACAGATACACCCCGAAGAGAGAGGGTTTATAATGTTAGAAATTCAGGAAAAGAAAGCAAATTGCCCTGAATGATCCAGGTAATTTTGCCCAAATTCCCTGTTTTAGGTTTATATTTTGTTTTTGAAAAACTCCTAACCTCTTTTTTTTTTTCTCTCTAACCCTGAAAGCCACAAGTCAAATAAATATGGTATTTGGTGAATCCCACTAATGTGCTCAGTGTTATACAAAACCACCACACTGGACCCTTTCTCTCCCCACCCAGTGGACCATCAGTTTGTTCTCAAACACATTTAAAAGGCTTAGCAGTGGACTCTAGTAAACAGAACACACATATATAACATGTATGGGCACATAATGACGAGAGAGAAAAAATGTGTTTTGTAATTTCTAGTGGCCGTTGAATTGACATAGAAAAGTGAGTCCAATCGTTAAGAAAAAATAGTTTATTTTGTAGATCATCAGGGTGGTTTAAGATTTCTATCGCATTGCAGAATCCAAGTAATTTTTTTTTGCTATTTTTGAAAGGAGCTTTTTTTATCATCTGGTATATTTGAACCCCATTTGAGAGGTTGTAGTGCTTACTCTAAAATAATGATGCTGAAATTTTTATTGGGTTTCGGTTGTATAGAATGAACAATCCAGGATTTAGCATTTATTCAGCCTTTTAGGGTTGGAAGGTTTTGAGAACTTGGGCAGAACATGTACTTCTGCTTTGGATAGCATTTAAAACTGAAGAAAAAATAATTTTAAGATTTGGCTAGTCAGCTGTGTAAGAGATAACACATCTGGCTTTCTGGTTTCCAGTGTGTTATACATATGTGTTACTACGCAGGTTGTCCCTGTAAAGAAAAACCAGTTGTCAAAATTTTACTGGGATCTGAGATTTATAAAGTTTATATGTATACGAGGGTACTTCAAAAAGTTCAAGGAAAAATAGAATTAAAAGATAATACGAATCTTTCCATGAACTTTTTGAAGTACCCTTGTAAGTATACAGTATCAGATAGTTCTTACGTCATTTTACAATTAATAAAATAATTCCTAGAATCTGTCTCTAATTTTATGATCAGACTTTGATAGACCCATAATTATTTGTCTCATCTAATCAGTTATCACTAATAAATTTTTATGTATTCGAATACATCGAGACTTTTTCTTTTGTAGATAGAAATAATTTATTTGTTGGTCACTGAATTTTCAAAATAGGAATTTCTTTTTTGGAAACCAGTTAAGTATGTAATTTAGTTTTACTTTAACTTTTATTTTATCCATGTCTTTGAGTACTTTCAGGCTGATTGCAAATTATTTCTAAAAGGGATTTTATTATGTTGAAGCATTGACGATAGTTTTTCCTTAAATTGCTTTGACAGAACTAACTTGTACTTAAAATAAAACTAAAAAAGCAAAAAAACTTGGCACTGTTGGGATATTGATCGAAAAGATGTTGGGCAGATGTTGGGCAGAGATCATATAAAGTCAGTTCTTCAGAGGCTAGTACAAATCTTTACTTCATACTCCTTCTTTTAAAGCGCTTAGTAATTTTGCCAAAATATTGGGATCATAAGAAATTGTTTCTTTTAAGTGGTACAGAGATAAAGA